GGGGGGGATTTTCTGTTTGAGATGGGAATGAGGGCAGTAATGTGATCTCTCTGGCGGAATAGGTGTGTCCATGTACGTAATGGAGGACGTGAAGGTGGAAGGGCGGGAAGTCACAGAGCAGATTACACGAGAGTCACAAAAAGGAGTTCTAATTGCACTATGAACCAAATTACAGTTTGCAATTGCACTTCGGGCAATGTATACAACCTAGTTATTTGGGCAGGGAGGGTGCCCGAAGTGCAATTGCAAACTATATCTTCCCTCATACTGCAATCACAATTTTTTTTTTGTGACTGTATTGCAGTTACCCCTTAAACAAACATCCGAGCGGAGCTGACAGTCAGGTGGTGGGACGTAAAAGCGAAGATGACATTTATATATGACCCTGTTGAAATTCAAAAAACTATTGGTAGCGTCTGCACTGATTCCAGTCTATTGGTGGGGAATGACACCTGCTGGAAACCGGGTCCAACATCCCTTACAGATAAAAAAAATAAAAAATTATAACACTGTCGTTTAGGGAAGGACATGCCTCTTCAGTCCCTCTTCGTGGACCTCCAAATATGCTAGTACTAGAAAACATGGGGAAATAGATCTGAGAAATCCCCTGGTGGCCCCTAGGGGAAGCAGCGGTGCCTCTCTTGCTAAGCGCAGGACCAGTACACAGACCTCTTCATAACACTATGAGCATACTATCATCAGAAAAACATAGACAGAAGATCATTTTTGCCCCCAAAGCTGGGTAAGGGCCCTGGTAGTGTACATATTCTTTTTAAAGCAAAAAAAAAAGGACAATGGCAGTGCCAGTCAGGACCATGGCACAAAAGAACGGCGGTGAAAATTGTTTGAGGTGTCCGTTAATCATCCCTGCACACCAACGCAGAATATGGATGATCTACAAACTTTCGGTGCTATTCACAAGACAGGATAACACTACCTTCCCGAAAAAGAAGAGAAAAAATAAAAGAAAAGAAAAAAAAAACAGGATAGAGAATCATGTTCATACTAGATGAAGATGGGACAACACTGCAGTCGCCTGAAATCGTTTTCAAATTGTCCCCTGTTCATCTTCAGATCGCACAATCCGCCCTCTTCATTTTCGACGACGCAGCAACTTTGTCTTGCTGCTATCGGCATCGCTGTCATCGTCTGCAGAAGATCGAGGCAAAGACGATGCGGAGGCATTTTTCAAAGTGTCGCTGGAAATGTTTGTGGTGTCGAAAATTTGTAGATTGCTCAACGCCTCCTCCAAGCTGCTGTTCGAAGACAAACTATATGTAGAAACGAATGTCGAGTGTGACGACTACGGCGTGTTCTTGAAGGACACTTTTTTGAAGTGCTTAACTTCTAGCGGTTTGTTGTTCGATGAATCATGAAGCGATGTAACTTGTGAAGATTCTTTTGCATGCATGGCACAAACGTCCCCATGGCAATGTGTTTTAGCATTGATCGTAACAGATGCTTCCTTACGTAACCGCATATTCTCTCTGCATACTTCTCCAAACTTGTTACGCAACCGCGTGTTATGCGTTTTTTCTTGCTCAACAATCTTCGTCATCACGTTCATCCTTCCTTGAAGTTCTTCGACCTCATCCCGTAGCGCATCTCTTTGCCTCACTATCGTGCTGAACATGACCCTCACATTCTCTGCCGCAATTTCTACACTGCGGTGCACCCGACGGCCAGATTATGCAGTACTCCTATTGTAATCTCTCCCGAAAATTATGTTATGTCTATTCATTATGCAATTGTGGTGCAATCGGTTGTCACAACACCGGAATGACACTATCACGCACCCAAACTTCATGGAGAAGCACTGATCGATACCCTATAAGAAAGGAAGAAAGCGTCCACGCAAAACGTACAAACAAACACGTACAAACGACGATGTCGTGTGACGATCGTGTGCAGCGAACCCGTAACAGTCTGCAGAATCGTCTTATGATTACACCTCAAGTGACAATCCACGTTAACCCCGGTTGTGGCTAAGCTTCAACCACTGACCGACAACTGATACCCTGAGACGGGCACCAACCACTGGCGTAAAGGTAGCTGTTATGAAAATCAAAGCAGACTATCACTCACCCACACCAGATGGGAAAGCGTACATATTGTTCGTTCACAGCCCATCACAAGCCAGCAAAACAACCACGAAACAAAGAATGGTGTGTGACAGCCAAAAAATAGACTCCACACGCCACTGGCACCAGAGGCACAAAATGGTCGTGTAGTGAAGGCCCCGACCACTGCCACTTCACCTGACTGGAGAAAACTGTAGCAGGGTGCTACTGAAGTCTGAAGTCGTGGTATATATCGTCAAACAGACTAGAGCAGCAAACCATACGTAGAGAGGGAGAAAATG